GATTTTCTCCCCCGGTGATACCGATCCTGGTCCCGCCGCTTGTGCAGGGAAACCCCCTGGTGGGCCGGGCCACTTTGTTTACCTGCCGCGTCCGCAGGTTTGGCCGATTGTGGCTCTCACTGGCCGCGGTTCGCTGCTCCAGGCCAATGGGAGCCGCGATCGCCGAACCTGCGGACACAGCAGGTAAACAAACCGATCTGGCCCGCCAGGGGCTTTCCCTGCACAAGCGGCGGAACAAGTTTGGGAAACACTGTTCTACCCTCTTCCCACTTAGACATCTCTCTGGCTTTGAGTGAGACAATAGTAACAGAAAACCAAAAAATATGAACAATCCTTCTTCTGCAGTACATAGTCATCAATGTAGTACAGTCTACTATATAGTTCTAGCAATCTATTTTCTAGTACATATTCCACATTGCACTGAGAACAAGGAAGGCACTAATTGGTTAGCAGAAAAAGGGGGTTATGATATTCGGGAATCGGTCTAGGCCCAAGGTGTTTGAAAGAGATACTGGTTATTCCCTGACCAATTCCAACTGCCTCTGCATGACAGAATGTGGGCTTCTGCAGCACCCCTCCTCAGATTCCTTGTTTCCAAAGCTAAGCCACTTAAAGGTACAGTTCCCAATACCACAGAGATGATGGAGTATCATATACTGGCCCCACCTTCCGTGGCAACTGGCCAGAAGTTGGAGACATATTCTAAGGAGGTCAGGTATCAGACCAGGTAAACCAGAGTCTCCAACCAAAAGCAAGAAATTAGGCAGTCTGGCCCAAAGTACAGAGAATCCAGAGAGGATTCAATAGGGATATTGTAGCTGCCCCTCCAGAGCTCCCCCTACAACCTAAAAGGGTAATAATGGCATCTACTTTCAGACCAGCCAGTGGCTGCAGTATGTGTTCACATTTTTAAAGATTTCTTTTCAATACTGGCTAGAAGCTTTTATTTTTTAGCCTAGATTCTGCAGAATATTAAGGAATTGGTCACATTTGCCTGGGAAGCTTCCTGTTTGCATTTAGTGAGTAAGATTTTCCAAGTATGCAATATATATTACATTATTATTATCCCTCAGTATTACATCAGGGGAATTTTTTTAAACAGCGTTAACAGCATACAAGGTCTTTAAGCATAAAAAGGGGGAAGCTACTGTCTAAAGTTTATCCGCATGAGTCACCAATAAATCCTGACCACAAGTCAACGCCTTAGTTTTGGGTAGTCAGGGGTTTTGTTAAACCCTCTGCAGAATTCTTGCATTTTAGGTGCTCAAGTGCATTCATTCTCCTTTGAATTTCCTTAAAATTCTCACAATGCCTAGGATGGTATCTTCTGGAGGTCACTAATCATGATGCCTTGCACTCCTAACATATTCTTCAGCTGCTCATTCAGACCCTTAAGATCATTCGAAGTATGTAATTTAATAATCATTGGGATCATCTTTGTTCTAGTTTTCCATAATTGTTCCATCTCGTGGTAGAGGTCTTCATACATTGCTATCTTCTCTTCTTTTTTTGTTTTGTTTCTGTCTGTTAATATGGCAATATCAATTAACATGGTCTTGTCTGTCTTTTTTTCTACAACCACAATGTCCAGCCAGTTTGTGTGCACCATTCAGTCTGTGACAGTTTCCAGATTCCATATATCTTAGCCTTTTCATTTTCTACAGAGCTCTTAATTTGGTGGTCATAATACCACACTTGCCACAGAGGCTCCAATGCAGACACACATTTTGTCTGTTCACATATTCTCTCCCAGCCAGACTCCTGCTGGAGCTCAACACATGTTCCACAGTCTCTTCCTTTTCTGAAAATATTCTGCATTTGGGGAGCAGTCCCATTGGTCAGTTTTGTTTTAAATGTAATTAAGCCTTAAGGACTGTTCTTGTGCACTCATGATGAGGCTCTCTGTCTCTCTTTTGAGATATCCTCCAGGCATGAGGATTGTTAATCTTTGATCACTAATAGGTTCGATCTCTCCCCACCACTGTCTGTGCATTGACATCTGTGTAAATCTTTCAAATCTTTCTTTGGCAATTTGCTTTTTCCTTTCTTTTATGCTTTCTTGGGCTGGGATGCATTTCATCCATCACTAGTTATTGTGACCAGATGATCTTTTACTCTGGCTTACTTCTTATATATATTGATATTATAGTCTTCATTGTCAATAGCGCTGTCCACAGATAGCAGACCTTTTCCTCCATCATACCATCAGATGTATGGCCTGTCCATGTCTTGATTGATATTCATTCTTCTATCATTGCTTAGACCCTTCTTGTTTAGGTGTCGATTTTTTTCTTTGCCTCTTGATTCCACTTGATCTCTCTGGTAGTGTACCCATATTGCTGGTATTGCCCATGTATTAATGGCTTGGATCAAATTTTTTGAGGTTTATCCTTAGAGTAGTTCTTATTCATCTGTAATATTCTTTCTTCACTCAGTCTTTGATTTACCTTAAGTTGTAACTCCAACAGTTCCCTGAATCCAAGGTACATGTAGGGGCCAACCTGAGAGATGCCTTAGATAGTACCTTCGTTAACTTGTATGCAATCTGAGTGTACCAATGTGCCCCTCTTTACAGACATCCAATGCACATTTAGCCAACCCAACCCATAGCTTTATATCTTCACCAAACTTTTCTAATATCATCAATCTCTGATTTTTATGATCATCCATATAGTTTCAGATCATCCATACATAACAAATGGTTGACTGGTTGTTGCTCTTTGCTGATATGATAACCACAGTTTATCTCAAGGAGTATCCAGGGCAGCAGCAGCATCACTACCATGAACAGCAAAAAAATTCCTCTTTTAATTTGGACCTCATCCATGAGAGTCCCTTCCAGAGAGAGTTGAGTGTTCCAGTTAACCATAAATTGCTACGGAAAGGAAATTATCTCTGGATGAACCTTGTGCATTTTCAGTGTCTCAATTATCCACAAATGTAGGACTCTATCATATGCTTTTTGGTAGTTTATCCACATCACCTCTAAGTTTTTCTTTCTTTGTTTTTCACCTCCTGTGATCTTCCTATTCAGCCTGAGATGGTCTTTTGTCTCTTTCATATTTACTTTGCAACATTTATGCTCAGGAGGCAGCATTCCATTGCAAGCTAGCACTATCCAGATCTTCTTTGCCAGAATTACTGTTAGAAGTTTCCACATACTTGGTAAACACATGATCGGTCTATAATTCCTAGGATCATTGCAGCCTTCTTTCTTTTTTTGTCTGAGGATGGTTCTCCCTGTCACCATCCACCTTGGACAGCAATTCTTCAAACAGTTACTGCTCTGCCCTGGCCCCACACTGCTCCCAGAAGCAGCCGGCACCACATCCCAGCAGCCTCTGGGCATGGGGGGGATGACAGATGGATCCGTGCACTGCCCTTGCCTGCAGGCACCACCCCCCACAGCTCCCATTGGCCGGGAATGGGGAACTGCGGCCAATCGGAGCTTTGGGGGAGGTACCCGCAGGTGAGGGCAGCGCGTGGAGCCCTCTGCTCTCCCCTCCCCCAGGGGCCACAGGGACAAATCCCTCCTGCACCCCAAACCCCTCCTGCACCCTGCACCCTAACCTCCTGCCCCGAACCACCTGCTGCACCCCACACCCCTCCTGCACCCCAACCCCCTGCTATGAGCCCCCTCCTGCAGCCTGCACCCCTCCTGCATCCAAACTCTCTGCCCTGAACCCCCTCCCACACTCCGCACTCATTCCTGCACCCCAACCCCCTGCCCCAGCCCTACATTCATGGCCCTGCATGCAATTTCCCCACCCAGATGTGGCCCTCGGGCCAAAACATTTGCCCACCCTGTCTTCGGGTCTCTCCTGACAAATCTGTTCTCTTAATACTGACAGCTCTATGCTGAATATCTTTTCAAGCCTATGACTCAGTGAGATCAGCTTCTGCTTACATTGTTCCTTCACGACTCTCACACCTATTTCATTCATCTGATATTTCATCTTCAGGGTTGTTCGTTTCTGTTTTCTCTTAAAAAGATTTTTCTCAAATTCATCCAATAGCCTGGTATCTTGATGTCAAAACTTAATCTTCTGGTTTAACCTTCGTTTCCACTGAGGTTCTATAATATAGGGAGTATTCCAGTGGTTCTCATCCTCATGTAAATATGGTCAAGGGGCTTGACCCTGTATGGGGTTATATAATTTACGGTGTGTTCAGGGTGAACTCACTGTCAATGATCTATGGAGAGGAGTTAGGCCCTCCCCCATGAGAGAGAGACTGAGAGAAACAGAAAGTCTGTGAGTAAATGGAGAGAAACAGGGCGATGGGAGAGGGCAGCCAGAGCAGAGGCGCTGACTCCATGGGTGCTCCAGGGCTGGAGCACACACAGAAAAAAATTAGTGGATGCTTAGCACGCACTAGCAGCCAGCTCCCCCCCAAGCTTCCTATCCGCCAGTGGCCCCAGCAATCAGCACCTCCCCCACCCTCCCAGCGCCTTCCACCTGCTGTGATCAGCTGTCC